TCTGAGCCCGGGGACCTGGGAAGGTAGGCGCTGGGCGACGCTGCTGGGGCTGGGAGGGTAGGGGGGCGTTGAGCGAGGACGGGCGCCTGCAGCGGCGCGGCGGGCGGGCAGGGCGCACCAGCGCGGTCTCTGCCGGCCGGGCGGACACGGCGCCCTTCCTCCCGGGACGCGGCCTCCAGCTCACCCCAGAAGCAAGACTTCCTTTCCTCCAGGTCCCGGGGCGTCGCCAGGCGCGGGGGTTGGGTTGCTTACCGATTGCACGCCCTCCACGCGGTGGCACGTTGAGGGGCTAACAGGCCTGTGACAGGTCGAGGAGCTTCAGCAAGGGGACAAGGGAGGGCCCCAAGGGAGGGCCCCGGGCCCCGCCCCCGCCCCTCCCCTCCCTCGTCCTCTCTGGCTCCATTCTTTATCCAATAGGCCTTGCTTTTCCAGAGATGGTTTGTCCACACTTGCTGAATTAGAACATTCTCATATTTAAAAGGGGAATTTGACAACAAAGGTGGGTGGTGGGGTGGGTGGAGAGGTGATGGGGGTGAGGGGGTGTGCCGTGATGTCTTTATTCGTCCATTGCACGTACACTAATTTAGTTCCCACGGCACAACTGTGCTTACCTGTACTGGCAGAAACACACTCCAGAAACCACAGGGACAGCTCCTGCTTTCAGAGTGGTTGGAAGGTGGCCAAAAATCTCCCAGTCACTGCTCCAGACTCCCCCAAATGCAAATGAAAACCACGTCTGTGTACCTGCCCCACCTCCCCCCATCCCCCCCAGTGTGTCCCACATTATCATGGAGGTGTCAGGAGCCAGGTGAGGGCTGGGTGCATTTTGAAACTTGTGAACTTTAGAGTCATCATTTGTGTAAGCTTCCAAAGCAAAGCTCTCCTTTATGATTCTTGGGAATCAGCAGCCTCTGAGCTGAGTTGCATGTTGACCTTGGCCAAAGGTTCAAGCTTGACCTGTCATAAAACTTTGGAAGAGGGCAGAACCTAGTCGGGGACCATCTCAGAAGGATGCTCGGCCTCCACTGCCCTTGCCTGCAGCTCTGTGCCTCTGTGATCTCTCCCTGGTCAGTTCTGCCCCCTTTCCCTTCTGCGCAGAGCCCCCTGCCCTTCCTCTCTTACATCTCCTCACCTTTATCTACTCCTGCCCACCCCTTCTCCCTCGTCTTCTCCTTCCTTCCCTCTCTCCCTCCCTCCCTCCCACCTTCACACTAGGCACCTGCTTCCCCCACTACTTTCCCTGGACTGGTTGGTCATTTGTGTATCTTCTTTAGGGGGAAATGTCTATTCAGGGTCTTTGCCCATTTTTAATTAGGTGGTGTGTTAGTCTGGGTTGACTAAAGAAACAAATTCGTAGACACTCATGTGTATAAGAAAGAGCTTGATATAAAGAGTAATTGTACATTAAGAAAACCTCCCAGCCCAGTCCAGATCAAGTCCATCAGTCCAATATTAGCCCATAGGTCCGATACCAGTCTATGAATTCCTCTTCAGACTCACGAAACACATGCAATGATGCTGAATGCAGGAAGATCACGGGCCAGTGGGTGGAAAGTCTTGTGGATCCAGTGGCGGTAGAAACATCTCAGCGCTGGCGTGGGTCGCCATGTGGCTCTTCCAGCTCCAGGGCTCTAGTGCAGTTCCATGTGTCTCGTCAGCAGGAAGCCACAGTAGAGAGTTTATCAGTATCTGGCCTCCAGTGAGCTGTTTATCTCGGGGCACCTCCAAATGAGGTCATCAGGCTGTGACCTGATTGACAAACTAGACATCGTCCCTTTGCAAGTTGACTGCCGTGTGCATGTACACACACACACACACACACACACACACACACACAGAACAAGCCCATTACCCTGGGGTTGATTCCAGTGACCCTCTGACTATATGACGGTCAGGAAGGATACGTGGCAAAGGTGACGCCTGAGCAGAGACCACTGGGAAATGAGGAAGCTAGCAAAGTGGACATCTGGGATAGGGAGTCCCAGGGAGGGGGAGCAGCATCCCATGTGTGAGTGTTGTTATTTCTGCGAAATCCGAAACAGATGAAGCATCTAGAACAAAGGAAGGAATTGACCACTTAAAACAATTTTTTTATTTAACTTTAAAAAAATTTTTCCATGGGCCAAAAAAAAAATAGGAACAGTTGCTTCACCAAATCCAAACCAATGTGGAAAAACAAAACAAAAAGAGCCAAACGGCCCCTCGGCCCATGGGAAGATGGTCATCAAGGGAAATGCAAGTTTAAACTGCAGCTGAGCTACACCAACAGACCCACTCAGACCTCAAACTCACCGCGGTGGAGTCGGCTCCTGGAAGGACTGACATTTAGACGGCGGACCATGCACCGAGGGATGGAGAGCACCCACAAAGAAAACAACCCCACGGCCATGGAGCTGACTCCAAGGCTGTCCATGGTTATGGCCGCTGATGCTTCCAACTTCCTGCTGGTGGGCTTGAACTGCTTACCTGGCAGTCGGCAGCCCAGCCGGACCACCAGGGATCCTATGTGAGAGCCACTCCAAAAGCCATGTTGCTGCTGGGTTGGTGGCTCCGCGTGGCTGCACAGGACGTCCTGTGCCATCCTCTCCACGGGCCAGTCACCACAAACTCAGGCGCAAGTCTCCAGCCTGCCACTTAGCAGCCTCGTCATTCGCCACAGCTCATGGTTTCTCATAAAACCACGGAAATGTGGGAGCCTGGTGCTAAACCATTCGTGGACGACCGGCGACCGGGTCGGGGTTTCACACGAAGCAGAGTAGTTCCCTCCCTGCGATCTGTTGAAAGTCAGCTCTCGACACAAGGGTTTGAGAAACAAACCAAAAACCCTGCATGTAAACATGACGTAGCCCAGGCTTCTCTTTCTAGACAGTGGTTCTCACCCTTCCTCACGTCGCGACCCTTGAATACAGTTCCTCATGTGGTGGTGACCCCCCAGCCATAAAGTTATTTTCGTTGCTACTCCATCACTGTCATTTTGCTACTGTGATGAATCGTCATGTAAATATCTGATAGGCCGGATGTATTTTCATGGTTACAAATTGAATACCATGAAAGCACAGTGATTCATTACAAAAACAATATGTCATTCTATATTGTGAAATATTTATTTCTAATGACAAATCAATGAAATGTCTGGAAGCATGGTGCAGCATGGGTCACAGTCTTCATGCTGGGTACTCATTTGTGGGCGTATCTGCATGTGGGAAGATCCACCTGGAGACAGATAGAGGAGCAGTGTCTGGGTTCCTACACATATCTCTGATGGTCTTAGGTGACCCCTGTGAAAAGGTCGTTCAACCTCCCAAAGGGGTCTCAGCCCACCGGTTGAGAACCACTGTTCTAGGGGTTTACCCGAGAGCAATCAATAGATAGGCCCACCCAAAGACTAGCTTATACATGAGTAGCTCCACAGCTGCTTGCTTCATAGTAAGTCCAGACCAGAACCACTGCCAGAATTCAGTAGCAAGCGAGCAGAGAAGCTAACTAACGGCTGATTGGTGGGAACTTCATCTGATCCAGTGAAATAGTCACCAACAGACAAGACAGAAGGATACCCAACGGCGTGGATGCATCTCAAAAGGGCAGTGCCGGTGAAAGAAACCAGCCTCAACCATTCCCGGTAGCTCTGCTCATACCCCCGACCCCCACCCCAGGGCAAAATGAAAGTTGAGCAGAGGAAGCCTGCGGTTTGGTGGGTGGGAAGACTGACTGTAAAGGGATGTGTGGGAAATGCACACTGGGGGAAATAGGACTATATCCCCTAACTTATCACAGAGGGAATCTGGAAAACTGGTATTCCACGGTAGGAAAGCCACCACTTTGGTAAGTTAGAGGCAAAGTCCAAGTGCATGATCCTGCTTTAAATATCATTCCCCCAGTTTGTTCCCTAACAGCTATGCTGCCTTAAAGTGTGCACATGGTGGATTCTATCTCCCTATAGATTAAGCAGACATTCTTTTGTTATCTCCTCCCTCCGAGACACCCAGCCCCCCCTCATACTTTCCCCCAATTCAGTTCATTAGGTTCCTTCACCTGTGAGCTCAGGGACCTGACTGTGTTACCACCCACCTTGTGAGGCATGTAACTACTGAATATGCATGTCTTGTAGTCACCTATAAATGTCCCAAGATAGTAAAGTCTGCCCCTCTCTTCTCCCACCTCCATGTGGACCACTAAGAGGGTCTGAGGTGAGCATGCTACCGTGAAATGTGTCTGACTCCTTTATTTTACTCTCTCGCCTATCCTATCTTCTATGGCTGTACTATAACCTTTATATATTATCACCATACAATTGTGCCTACAGACCTCGGTTATTAGAGACTAGTTTCTTCTGACAGGGAGAAAAAGAAGCTTGTTGGGGTGGTGGAACTATTCTGTAACGTGATGGCGATACATCTGTCGGAACGTATTTGCACACTTAAATACAATCGGTGTGCACGTAAATAAAATGGGTCCATTTCCTTGCATGTACATTGCACTTCAGCACCTCCGATGAAAAAGGCACAGAGGCAGCACCTCCTCTTCAATGGTGGAGGTCTCAGAATGGTGGCTGCTCTACAAGACAGTTCACTGGACGTCGGGGGAGCGTGCGGTAGCCTGCTCCAGGACTACAGATGGTCTATCCCCTCTTCTGGGTGGTCACTATACGGGTAACATGCATGGAGTCATGGAGTTGCACATTCAGGCCTTATGCACTTTGTGTGAACGATACCTCAATTTTAAAAGGAGAAAACTAGATATCAGAAGTGCCTGGGCCGCGCTCCTGGAAAGTGAGATTTCATTGTTGCCAGGAGAGGTCCGGCCACTCTGTCTTAGGAGAGTCTAGTGTTCATCCCAGGCGGGGGCCGCTGAGGCCAGGGTCAGGGAAGGATCGAAGCAGGTCCAGGGCTCAGGGAGCATGCTCAGTTCCACTTTCAGGAGCAGGAGGAGGAGAGGGGGAGTCAAGCCATCGACTCCAGGGTTGGGATTCACATCTCCTTTGTGACTAACTCCTAGGCAAGATGGCAGCCGACGAGGGCGCCCAGGACACCTTGAGGCGCCAATTCAAGGCACTGCAGGAGATGCAGCACCAAAGGCTCCAGCAGCAGGTGGAGAAAAGGAAGGAGAGAGAGCTGAGCTCGCGGAGCAAGGCCAGCGACCAGAAGGAAGCCCTGGAGGTCCCCGACGGCTTCCGCCTCCCCCACGGAGGGATGCCACTGGCCAAGGGCAGCTTTGAAAAGAGGTAACGTGTGAGCTCCCCCCGCTGCAGCACTGTCGTGAGGCGGGGAGAAGGGAGGCGAGATGTTGGCAGACTTGGTTCAGCCCATGACTCTTGACAGGTCGAGCCAGGGAACGTATTATCAAAGGGCCCTGCTAGCGGATGGAAAATGTGTGTTCTGGTGGGACATGCCGGGTATGAAATGTCTCCCAAGGCCCCGCTTAAAGTTAAATGGGAAATTGGGAAGGTGTTTCCCCACTCGTTTAAAATGAAGTCGGGCAATGTGCCAGGGTGTCACTGAGGCCCTGGAGCTTCTGAGGTGGCCACAGGCCGTCCCTGCACCCAGTCTCCACTAAGGCCGTTGGCCCAGCCTGGTTCCCTTCTGCTGACACATGCGGTCACCAAAACCTTCCTGTGGGACCCTGGACCTTTCACGGAGGGTGACCAAGGTAGGGGTTGCCCATGGTCATCTCCAGACGGATACCGATTTGTGTGAGCCGGCATCTGAAAAGCATACAGATGCTCTTTAAAAAGCCCAAAGAGTTTCTTCACGAACCCTTGGCTTCCGCTGTCACCTGGAATCAACAGTCCCCATCTTTCACGTTCTGCTTTTTCATGGTTGTGGTACAAACCGTCAAAACCTGTTGGACTTCACGGGGGTGGGGTCCACGGGAATGGAGATCAGCTGGGGCTGATGCCTGTGAGTGCAGGTACGAGCCCCCACCCCACTGCCAGCCGTTCCTTAACCAACTCCGACAAGAGCTGCCCTCCGCCCCCAGCTGCTCCTCTTCCGGAGTTGGCCATCCTTGGCCACACAGGTCACGCGGGCAGTGAAGGGGTTCCTTCAGGAAGTGACAAGACACAACCCCAGGTCACAGTCGTCGTATTAGAGAAGCCAGCAAGTCAGTGCGGTCTCACAGCTGCCCAGTGCCCGCCGAAACCAGCCCCTGCCCAGCTGCAACTCTTTGGAATAGTCTTCTCTGTGGGGACAGCTCCCTCTGCCCACTCAAAGCCACTTGTCTCCCCTGACCCTGCGTCTGTCGCTGCCCACCCTGTCACTGGGCCCCTTTTGCGCCTGTTGGACCCCCCCCCCCACTCCTGACCTGTCGGTCCTTTGACCTGCGGCCTACTGCTCTTCTAGGTAGTTCCTGCTTCTTTTCTTCCTACTCGTTCTTCTCTTTTCCTTATACTGCTTTTTTCTTGCATCTTTCTGTCCCGAAAAACCTGTGGGGTTGGCTGTTCACATACAAAACTCCTTGAAAAGTCTAAGGCTCGTCCCTCTGAGCTGAGCCCTTGCGCAATGTGTTAAAATCTGCTCGTTGAAGTTGTCAGAATTTCCCCTTCCCGTTTTGTACAGATCTTTTAAAATTATTACCATTAAAAGATTTTATTGGGGGCTCTTACAGCTCTTATAACAATCCATACATCCATGGTATCAAGCATATTTGTACATATGTTGCCATCATCATTTTCTAAACATTTATATTCTGTTTGAGCCCTTGGGATCAGCTCCTCTTTTTACTCTCCCTCCCACCTCCCTTCCTCATAACCCCTTGATGAATTATAAATTATTATTCTTTTCATATCTTACACCGACTGTCTCCCTTCCCCCATAGTTTCGGTTGTATCTCCCCCTGGGGGTGGCAGGGGTGGTCATGTGTCGATTACTGTGATCGGTTCCCTCTTCCTCTCCCCACCTTCCCCCTACGGTACAGATCTAGTCTTAGCGCAAAGCTTTGTGCTCCCGTGAAGCATGACCCACCATCGCGGAAACCCAGGGAGGCAGCATGGACTCGGTAGCAGAGTGGCTCTCCATGCCACCTAGTGTCAAGCCTGGCACAACCAGCCTGTCTGTGGGCCCCTGTGCCTCCAGTCCATTCTGACTCTCGGGGCCCCACCAGGGCAGGGTAGAGCTGTCCCTGTGGGTGTCTGAGACGGCAGCTCTTCATGGGAATTGAAAGCCCCGTCTTTCCCCCCTGGAGTGGCTGCCCTCGAAGCTGCCAGCCCACCTTGTCGCCCCCTGTGCCCTTTGCCTCGCAGGGTGCTGGAAGACGAGATCGCACAGCTCCGAGAGCAGCTCAGAGAAACGGTCGACGAGAACGGGAGGCTGTACAAGCTGCTGAAGGAGCGGGAGTTTGAAATCAAGCACCTCAAAAAGAAAATTGAGGAGGACAGACTGGCCTTCACAGGTAGCTGCCCGGCGGACGCATTCCCCGCCCGGGAGGCCAGCACGCTGACCCAGCCACCCAGAGGCCTGCTGGGCAGGATGCACAGCAAGAATGCCAGGGTCTGCTGTGGTCAGGCGTGTCCACAAGTTCTGAACTCAAGGGCAGGCTGGAGGAAGGGAGCCAGCCTGGGAGGTGGGAGCGCAGGGGCAGCAGGGCAGCGGGCAAGCACCCTCAGTGATGCTGGAGACCCGCTGTGGTTCCCACACAGGCTCTCTGAGATGCTCACCACACACCAGCTGGGCCTGAAGGCTCTGTGCCATCTTGGGCATTTTGTCACCGGGTAACCAGCCCCGCAGAGGTGGGTGCTTTCTGTACGGCACTGGTCATTGTGGCTGCAGAGAGGCGGACAAGGCAGGGAGGCTGGCTGTTCCAGGAGGACTTTCTAGGACCCCGTCCCCCTCCTCGGGATTGGAGCTGGACCTTGACCCTCTAGGCCTAGTCTGGGCCTTGGCTTTGTGTGTCTGGGGGGAACCTGGGCTCTGCAGCTACGCTGGATGTTGGCTCTGTGGTCATGTGCTAGCCCTTTGGTGTCTGCTGGGGACTGTGGCCCTTTTTTAAATGGGCTCTTCTCTGTGTGTTCCCATTGGCCAGAACTAGATTCTCTGCCGAATTTTCATTCATTCAACCGCTGGGGTGGCTGACCCTCTGATATGATCATATCCCATGCCACCTACTGAGGAACAAAGGAGCCACATACCACCTCTGTGCCCAATGAAGCCTGACCCTCTCGATACCCCAGCACCCTGGAGCCTTGGGGCCTTCCTCTGCCCATGTGCCTCTCCTCTTCGGCAGATGCGAGGCTGCCAAGGACAGCCTGATCCTTGCCTCCACCTTGCTGCCTGGCTGGGGAGGCGTCAGCCAGTGCTGTGCCTGTGCACCAGCAGACAGGGCTTTGATGACTGCGAGGAGGGGCCAGGAGTGGAGGCAGGAGCTGGGTGGGTTGTTGGGGAGAGAGGGGGCGTCAAAGAATCACACACCTGGAGGGCTTAACGGGGCATTGCTGCCAGATGGGCTGCATCACTATCTCCGGTGTGCTTCCTTCAGAACAAACGCGTGGGCACTCTTAGCCCTCAAACTCGAATCGTGGTCTGAGCGACTGAGAAGCAAATAAGTCAAGAGAGGAGGGAAAGTGGCATTGAAATGGAATGGGGGTGCCTGATGACAAACAAGATCGTCTCAAACCAAACAGAGAGGGAACGGCCAGAAGGGAGTGTGCAGTGTCTTTGCTCAGTCACCCACCAGGGGTCTCACCCTTCCTCTTGTTCAGCGATGCAGTGCACCCAGATGACGTTGCAGAGGAATACAGGGACGCCGGTACCTGTGATACGCAGGGTGCTCCAGAGAAACAAAACCAGGGCACTTATGATTACAGTGAACCCTCGTTTATCGCGGTTAATCCGTTCTAGACCCTACCGTGATAAATGAAATTCCGCGAAGTAGGATTCCTTATTTGTAAATCAAATATTTTCGTAGTTAGAGCATAGAGGACATGAAAAAACACCCTTTAGTCACCATTACACTCGTATTACCCAATTTATTAAACGAAAAAGGGAAAATACAGTAAAACATTTTGGACGTTACAATGATCATTTATTATTTATTATATTATTTATGGCATCTAGTTTACAGTATTACATATTTCACATACAGTATTATTATACATAGTTCTTACAAATACTGTAATCAATAGCCTATAAAATGACTTAAGGGATGTACTCTACAGGTGGGTCGCCGTCTTTTTCCTCTGAAGGAGCGGGTGTAGGCAGTGGGTGCTGTTCCGCAAAAACCGCAATAGAGTGAAGCCGCGGAAGTCGAAGCGCGAAGTGGCGAGGGTTCACTGTATATAGTTATAAGAGGATAGGCTTACACTGCAAGAAGGCGTATAACAGCTCATGAGTCCACACAGCAGCACAGAGGGCTCAGCTCAACTCACTTTCCTGGAGCAGCAGTTAATATACTAGAAGTCTTTTGACTGACGTGGGCTGCCCGGTCCAAGGTCAAGGAGGAGACAGCTGAGTCTTCCCTCAGCCAAGGCAGGCAGAGGCTGACTCCAGGCAGCAGACATAAGGGTGGGTCACCAACAGCAGTAGCACAGGAGCTTATCAAACAGGCCCTGATAGGGTCTGGGAGTGAAGCACGGCACAGGATCCGCCAGCCTCAAACGCAAGCGGTGTACGCACCAGCGAACCAGCAGCGTGGCCAAGCAGGTCTCGAAGGAGCCTCATGCTCTAGCGACAGGATCCACAGGTTGGCTTGGCCTCCAGGTAGTGTAACTCACAGAGGTAGATAAGGGGGTTCAACAAATTGTGAGGAGATGGAGATAAATGATCGTGGACTTCTTCCATGAGCCTTTTGAAGCCCCTCCGTATATTTGTTTTTATTTGGGATGCCCCGTGCCCCTGCCACTAGAATTAAAAAAAAAAAGCAAGCCAAATTCACTGCCGTCAAGTAGATGCCTGCTCATACTGATCCTGAGGGGTTCCGAGACCGAGACTGTGTGTGGGAACAGAACGCCCCCGTCTTTCTCACATGGAGCAGCTGGTGGTTTCGAACTGCTGGCCTTGCGGGTCGCAGCCCAGCCCGTCCCCAGGATGCCACCAGAGCCCCTCCCACCCGTACAGGGCAATGAAGATCTACATTCTCCCGCGGAGAAGGTCAACTGCACATGTCTTGTGTGTTCCCCCGTTGAATGCCTGACCCCTACAGTCCCCGGCACCTGAGAACACTGCAACGCATACCGACTCGCTGACCGCAGGCGTTCACTGTGAGGCTTACCACAAAGCCACCCCAGAGGGGCTGGACCCCGGCTCTGGGGGGCATTCAGTAGTAGGCATTCACTTAGCGCCAGTGTCTGGGGGCTGGCTGGAGATCGGCCCATGTAGGTCAAGCCCAGCCACGGGGTTGGCTGGGGTGGGTGAGCTTGTTCCCTGCATCTCCCATCCTCTTGGCCGGGCTAGCTGGCCGGCTCTACTCCCGGAGGCTCATCACCAGCTAATGATGCCGGTGGTTTTCAAGCCTTGCTTGGTATCAGACTGTGCCCAAAAGCAGGCACAGAGGGGGCCCGAGCTGCACCCTGCTCACCACCGGGGAACACCCCGGAGTGGGAGCAGCAAACCTACCCCCGTCAGATTGAGAACCCTGCTGGGTGATGTCACCGGAGCTGGGTCTCTGGGCGCTGGGCACATAGTGTGGCAACTCCCCTGGGAGCACCCGCCCCGAGCGGCCCTCGCTGATGTTGGTGGGGTGGTGGGTGTGCGAGGGGGGGGCGGGGGCCTATGGTGTGAACTGGCCTCGCCGTGCCCCCTGTTCCAGGGACAGCCGGTATGGCCGGGGACATGGTCGCCACCAAGATCGTGGAGCTGTCCAAGAGGAACCGGGTGCTGATGGCGGAGTCGGAGGGTGCCAAGACCAGAGTGAAGCAGCTGGAGCGGGAAGTGAGCATCCCTCCTCCCCCAGACCAGGGCTCAGAGAGTGGGTGCCAGGGAGATGCCCCGGGGGCTTCTTCAGCCTCAGGCAGGTGGCAAGAGGAGCCCCTGTGTCAGGCAGGTGCCCCTGAGAGAGAGCCAGCCAGGTGATTCCAGAGCTAGCTCCTGGAGCCCATCTGCGAGGTGTGGGCTCGGTCACCCCCATGATCCCATTCATAGTACTCACCTCAAGGGCTGGTGCAAATTCAGTGACCGGAAGCTTAGTCAGCTCCGGGTGAATGCTTGCTAAGTCAATGGCTAGAGGCCCTTTGCTGCTGCAGCTAAGGGAAGTGGCTGCAGAGCAGAAACAAGGGG